AGACATATGCACCCCTATGTTTATTGCAGCACTATTTACAATAGCCAAGATACGGAAGCAACCTAAGTGTCCATCAGTAGATGAATGGATAAAGAAGAGGTGGTACATATACACAATGGAATACTATTCAGCCATAAGAAAGAAACAAATCCTACCATTTGCAACAACACAGATGGAGCTGGAGGACATTATGCTCAGTGAAATAAGTCAGGCAGAGAAAGACAAGTGCCAAATGATTCCCTCATTTGTGGACTATAAAAACGAAGCTAAACTCAAGGAACAAAATAGCAGCAGCCTCAGAGACTCCAAGAAGGAACTAGTGGTTACGAAAGGGGAGGGGTGTGGGAGGGGTGTGGGAGGGTGGGTGGGGAGGGAGGGAGAAGGGGAATGAGGGGTATTATATTTAGTACACTTGATGTGGGGGATCACTGGGAAAACAGTGTAGCAAAGAGAAGGCAAATAGTGAATCTGTGGCATCTTACTACACTGATGGACAGTGACTGCATTGGAATATGGGTGGGGACTTGATAATATGGGTAAATGTAGTAACCACATTGATTTTTCATGTGAAACCTTCTTAAGTGTGTATATCAATAATACTTTAATAAAAAATTAAAAAATAAATCTTCATCTTCCATTGTTAGTAAAAAGCAGGGCAGCTTAAATCATGTACACATACACAAGAACCCTATCTGTGTTAAAATATCAAAACTCTCCTCACCCCTCCCCAGGCCCACCTCTCCAGCACAAAGCCCTGGCCATTAAATGTTCTGACCATCGCCACTGGGTGAGAATTCAGCTTTGCATCAAGAGTAGGAAATGCAGTGCCTACACCTGTGGGTGGTAAGGGTCTTGGCAAACTGGAGTACCCAGCCAGCCTCCTTCCCAAGAGGTGATGCTGCTTAACTCATTCAGAACCCAGTTTGCCAGACCTTTCCATTATTCAAAAGAAGCTGGAAATTGTGATACTATGTAAAATCTCCCAAATTTAAAAGGAAAAAAACAGCCCTATTTGGACCAAACAAAACACAACTGTAAACTTTATCTGGGTACTACTTTAATCTCTGCCATTGTGGCAGGAAAACTCTTAAAAAGGTCAGTTATGGGTGCTGGAGAACTAATGCACTCAGAAGAGAAAAATATGTTTTTGGTGTTACTGTATAAATGAAATTGCAATAAATTCTACAATTTTCTGGCTTCCAACTCAAATTCAATTTTATACTTTCCCCTTAATTTCCTTGAATGTACACTTCATCTCTATAGCACTGAATGTCTTAGCTTGTAACAACATTAGGATAATTTGATTTGTTCTTATACTATGTTCCACAGTGATGTATAGTCTGAACTGTACCTTTTACAAAAAGTTTGTGGTAAAGGCACTTATACTGACAAAATAAAAGTTTCCTCCCAAATTGTTTTTGTGCAAGTAATAATAGCCCACAGCACAAGGAGGCAAAACGCAGTTTTCCAGGCACCTTGAAAGGCCAGTTTGCTCTCTACCCTCAAAGGGAGAGAACAGCCCTGTGAGGAGTTATTCTGTTCAGAGGTTACTTACCGCCCTTGCTAAAGTCTGAAGACACTGCTTTTAAAGATTTGTAACTGTCTGCCAACGTTCCCATCTTTCCTCTCTCCTTGAAAAAAAATGGAAATGTGGGTTTTCTGAAGCACAGGCTGGAAGTACACACTTAGGTGATAGTCTGCATAAACTTGAAGCTGGGGGTAGATGGTACTGCCAACTAGGAAGAGTGTAGCTTGAGTGGGTGCAGAATCCTGGGCACACACACCTGCAGGGGCGGGAATAGACATTAATCTCAGAGCGGTAGGGAATAGGGCGCGCGCCAAGCTGCCCAGAGCCTAGTAAGGTAAAAGAGGTTTTTACATCACTTGGAGGGACGACTGTAGTTCCCTGGGAGGTAGCTCATGTTAACTAGAGGGCGGTGAGTTCCCCAAGCCCTATAATGGCAGGGCCTTCATTCGGGGCTTTTGCAGGCCACGTACAGGAATATCCAGCACGGAGTAAGATGGCCTGACCTGGAGGAGGGCACAACTTGGGAAAATATGTCCCCGCCGGGGACTGAAGGTGCGAGACTGCGGGACAAGGAATGAGGCCAGGCTCAGGCCGGGGAAAGGCTTTCCCGCGGGGGCGGCTATACCAGCTCCTCCGGTTTAGCGCCCTAGCGTGCACTCCGACAGCTACGCGCCTCCACTTCCGCCACCAGCCGCCAAGCAACCAGTCCCGGGCGGCCGTGGCCGGAAGCCTCTCCGCGGGCCGGGGCTTCCGCCTGCTGCCCCCCGCAGCCCCTCCCGCCGGGACTGCTCCGCCCCCTGGCGGCCGGGTCCGCTTTCCGCCCTCGGGTCCGCCCGCCCACCGGCCGCTGGCTGAGGCATGGAGGCTGGCAGCCGCAAGGAGGGCGTCTTGGGGCGCACCGTGTGCGTGCTGACCGGGGCCTCCCGCGGCTTCGGCCGGGCCCTGGCTCCGCTCCTGGCTCGGCTGCTGTCGCCCGGCTCCCTGCTGGTCTTAACCGCCCGCAACGATGAGGCGCTGCGGCAGCTGGAGGCCGAGGTGGGCGCCGAGCAGTCTGGCCTGCGCGTTGTGCGAGTGCCCGTCGATCTAGGCACCGACGCCGGAGTGCAGCAGCTGCTCGGCACCCTGCGAGGGTTACCCGGGCCCGAGGGGCTGCAGCGACTGCTGCTCATCAACAACGCGGGTAAGACTTACGGAGGCGAGGGCGGACACTTGGTTTGAGCGTTTCGAATACCGCCCAGCGCCCCTTTCTTCCACCCTCTTATTTCCTCCATCGCTGAGAACTGTAAAGCTGACCCCTAGGAGTTAGAAAAGGCACCCGAAAGACCTGGTTGTTTATCTGAGATGTGGAGGAAGAGCCGGTGTCGTTGGGGCAGCTCAAGCCTGCCACCCACTGCAGGTTTTCCACACGCTCGTAGAACTTTCCTGATCGCCTTACTCGGCGCCCTCTGGCGGCCTGAGTCAGGGCATGGAGTCTCCCCGCAGAAGTAAATTCTTCTGAAATGGTCCCCAGTGTTCTCCCCCAGTTACAAGCAGGACGTTTGCCTTCGCTGTCCGCAGGCTGGGTGAGTGGTTCCCCAGATGTGTCTTTTTGTCTATAGTGCTGGGAAGAGGGAGGCATCTTCAGAACCACTAGAAGGAGCACCCTCTAGGTCTGGATGGGAAGGGGGTGTCTGGAGGAATTTGGAGAGCGTAGGAGGCTGAGAAAGCCCTGACTGCACTGTGTGATTCCTAAGGTCTGGTTTTTCAGGCACTCTTGGGGATGTGTCCAAAGGCTTCGTGAACCTGGATGACCCAGCTGAAGTGAACAACTATTGGGCTCTGAACTTGACCTCCACGCTATGCCTGACCTCCAGCATCCTGAAGACCTTCCCAGACAGTCCTGGCCTCAGCAGGACTGTGGTTAACATCTCATCCCTGTGTGCCCTGCAGCCCTTCAAGGGATGGGTACTATATTGTGCAGGGAAGGCTGCCCGGGACATGATGTTCCAGGTCCTGGCCGCAGAGGAACCTAGTGTGAGGGTGCTGAGCTATGCCCCAGGTAGGTGGCAATTGCATTACTGCCAATCCTGTCCCCCAACTGGTGGGACATAGTCTGTTCCCTCCAGGAAAGAACCCACAGAGTATATTGTCCCTAAATCATAACCCATCACTCCTTAAGGGACATACAGGTTCCAAGGAAGTTAGAGCTGGCAGGGGCAGGGACTTGTAGTTAGAGGGTAAGGAGAGAGTGGGGAGCTGCCTTGACTGGAGGATGGGGCTAGAAGTCAGAGATACTAGTTTGAGAGATGATTAGGGTTTGAATTCCAGGCCTGTCTGCCTATTTCCTCATGTGAAATAGAGAAGATGTTACCTGTCTCAACAGGGCAGTCTGGCAGACTGAATGAGTAATATATGTGAAAATGATCCCTAACTATTGTCCAATTGCTATCACTTCCAGTTGTTATATAGTACTTGCCACACTGTGTTATCTTCATATGTACACTTTTCTACTTCCCTCTCTTGATAGGAAAGCTTTGAGGGCAGAGACTATGCGCTATTCACCTGTATGTCCACAGCACCTAGTAAAGTGCCCTACTGCAGAGTCAGTCTGCAGTGAATGATAGTTGAATGAAGAGCAGACAGACATTGTTGAATGCTGACCATCCCTTGCTAAACTGTGCTAGAATACTGCGCAGTGCTGGGATAGATAATACAGGGCCCCTGTCCACACGAAAGGTAAAGGGTAGAGGGCTTGTGACACTTGGTATGGTTTCTCATCACTCTGCCATGGTGTCATATGTCCCTTTCTTTAAAGTGAGACTTCTTTCTATTCTAGGCTTGAAGCTGCTGCGATTAGAAGGTGTTGCCATAGCCATTGTATAATGTCTGAGCAACTTAACAGTAGATCCAATATTCTATTCCCCTTGGAACTCGGGAGGCACAGAGGTAGAATGACTTGGCCAAAGCCCAGATGTGGCAAAGCCAGTATCAAACCTTGCCTCCCAAGTTCATGTTCGGCGTTCTTTCTACTTCTTCATGCTCACCCAGTGCTCCCTTTCTCCCTAACATATACACAGTTATTCTTGCAGCTAACATTCAACTCAGCACCCAACTCTGAGTTCAGACTAGGACTAAGTCAAGAGTGAGAAAATGTAGGGTATGTGGTGGGGACTTGATGATGGGGGGAGTCTAGTAACCATAATGTTGCTCATGTAATTATAGATTAGTGATACCAAAAAAAAAAAAAAAGTGAGAAAATGAAAACCACAACCAGGAATGGAACAGATTCCAGAATGTCATGTGACTGGTTAGTACTCATGGGGCTACCCTAGGCATCAAGAGGAAATTGAACTTTCTTCAAGGTCCCTGGGACCCAAATGAACCCTGTGACCAGCTGGGTTTTCATTTTACTCTCTGGAAGAATGTTCTAACAGGTTTCCAAAGCTGGAATGGGCTGTTTGGAAAAGTAGCAAGTCTCCACTTAACCAGGAATGCACAGATGGCTGAAAAAATTCGAGGATCAGGAGGTGGTTCTCTTTCCAATCCTGAGGTTCCTTGACTTTTTGTCCCTGAGGCCCATTAACTCCCAAATTAAAGGTACTGTGGTTCCTGTAGCAAGAACAGAAAGTGCCTGAAAGAGTTCAAGAAGGGAGCAATTCCTTTCTGGTGGCGTGCCAGAAATGACTTTATTTGATGTGGCTGACCTGGACATTGACCTTGAGGGCTGCTTCCATATCAGCAGTTGGAAGGCATTCCCAATGAATGCATGTAAAGGTGGGAAAACTCTCCAAACTTATATTAGGATGCCAGCATTACCCTGATACCAAAACCAGACAAGGACATTATAAGAAAAGAAAATTATAGGCTAGTATCCTTAATGAACATAGATGCAGAAATCCTCAACAAAATTATTAGCAAAACAAATATAATAATATATTAAAAGGACCATGCACCATCATCAACATGATCAAATGGGATTTATTCCAGGAATGCAAAGATGGTAAATCAATCAATACAATATACCATATCAACAAAATGAAGGCTAAAAACCATATGATTATCTCAATAGATAATCAGAAAAAATATCTAATAAAATTCAACACTCATTTGTGATAAAAAAAAAAAAAGACCTCTCAATAAAGTGGGTGTAGAGGGAATGTACTCAACATAATAAAGGTTGTCTATGACAAGCCCACACATAACATCATACTCAATAGTAAAAAGCTGAAAGCTTTTCCTCTAAGATCAGAAACAACATGGGAGTCATTCTTACCATTTTTATTCAATACAGTTTTGGAAGTCAAAGCCAGAGCAACTAAGCAAGAAAAAATAAAAAGCATCCAAACTGGAAAGAAAGAAAACTGTCTCTATTTGAAGATGACAGTATTATATATAGGAAACCGTAAGTTCCACCCCAAAACTACCAACTAATAAAGGAATACAGTAGAGTTGCAGGATACAAAATCAATACACAAATATCAGTTGCCTTTTTATACACTAGTGAGCTAGCAGAAAGAGAAATTAAGAAAACAGTCCCATTTACAATTGCATCATAAAGAAGAAAATACCTAAGAATAAATGTAGCCAAGGAGTTAAGAGACCTGTGTTCTGAAAACTGTAAGACATTGATATTGATGAAAGAAATTGAAGAAGATAAAAATAAAAAGATGATAAAAATTTTAAAAAGTGGAGATAAAAATAAATTTGGAAAAATTTTCATGGATTGCAAAAATTAATATTAAAATTCCACACTTTCCAGAGCGATCTACAGATTCAATGTGATTCTTATCAAAATTCCAGTGGCATTTTTTACAGAAGTAGGACAAACAACCCTAAAATCTGTGTGGAGCTACAAAAAAACCCCAAACAGCCAAAGCAATCTTGAGAAAGAAAAGTGAAATGAGGTATTATGCCCTCTAATTTCAAACTATATTACAAAGCAATAGTAATCAGAACAGTATGGTATCAACATAAAAACAGACGAATTCATCAATGAAACTCTCTACTTCTGTTGTCTTGGGAAAAAAGATCATTTGGGGCTGAAATTTTGGGGTGCCTTACTTGCTTCAAAACTTAGGTGTACAAGTTTTTCCCCAGATTTAGGAAGTTCTTAGCCATTATTTCTTTAAACTCTTCCTGCTCCTTTTTCCACCTGGGACCCTAATAATGCATAGATTGTTTCTTTTAATGGTACCCCTTTATTCACATAGGCTTTCTTCACTTTTTTCACTCTTTATTCTTTTTTTCTTGTTCCTCTGATGAATGATTTCTAATGACCTGTCTAGTTCAGTGATTCTTCTGCTTAGTTGAGTCTGCTATTGAACTCTCTTACTGAGTATTCTTTACTTCAGTTATTCTGTTCTTCAACTCTAGTATTTTGGTTGGTTGGTTTTTTTTAAGTGGTTTGTATTTCTTTGTTGAACTTCTCATTTTGTTCATGCATTATTTTCCTAATTGCTTTAGTTGTCTTAAATGTTTTCTTATAGTTCACTGACCTTATTTAAGAGGATTATTCCAAATTCTTTGTCAGACAGTTCATAGATTTCATTTCTTTCAAGCCAGTCATTGTAGTTTTATTAGTTTCCTTTCATGGTATCATTTTTTCTTGATTATTCATGATCCTTCTGGCCTTGTGTTGGTGTCTGTGTATTCGAAGAAGCAGGCACCTCTTCCAGTCTTTACAGGCTGACCTTGGTAGGCGAAACCCCTTACCAGTCATCCCTTGCAGTGTACCATCCCTTGCTAAACTGTGCTAGAATACTGCGCAGTGCTGGGATAGATAATACAGGGCCCCTGTCCACACGAAAGGTAAAGGGTAGAGGGCTTGTGACACTTGGTATGGTTTCTCATCACTCTGCCATGGTGTCATATGTCCCTTTCTTTAAAGTGAGACTTCTTTCTATTCTAGGCTTGAAGCTGCTGCGATTAGAAGGTGTTGCCATAGCCATTGTATAATGTCTGAGCAACTTAACAGTAGATCCAATATTCTATTCCCCTTGGAACTCGGGAGGCACAGAGGTAGAATGACTTGGCCAAAGCCCAGATGTGGCAAAGCCAGTATCAAACCTTGCCTCCCAAGTTCATGTTCGGCATTCTTTCTACTTCTTCATGCTCACCCAGTGCTCCCTTTCTCCCTAACATATACACAGTTATTCTTGCAGCTAACATTCAACTCAGCACCCAACTCTGAGTTCAGACTAGGACTAAGTCAAGAGTGAGAAAATGTAGGGTATGTGGTGGGGACTTGATGATGGGGGGAGTCTAGTAACCATAATGTTGCTCATGTAATTATAGATTAGTGATACCAAAAAAAAAAAAAAAGTGAGAAAATGAAAACCACAACCAGGAATGGAACAGATTCCAGAATGTCATGTGACTGGTTAGTACTCATGGGGCTACCCTAGGCATCAAGAGGAAATTGAACTTTCTTCAAGGTCCCTGGGACCCAAATGAACCCTGTGACCAGCTGGGTTTTCATTTTACTCTCTGGAAGAATGTTCTAACAGGTTTCCAAAGCTGGAATGGGCTGTTTGGAAAAGTAGCAAGTCTCCACTTAACCAGGAATGCACAGATGGCTGAAAAAATTCGAGGATCAGGAGGTGGTTCTCTTTCCAATCCTGAGGTTCCTTGACTTTTTGTCCCTGAGGCCCATTAACTCCCAAATTAAAGGTACTGTGGTTCCTGTAGCAAGAACAGAAAGTGCCTGAAAGAGTTCAAGAAGGGAGCAATTCCTTTCTGGTGGCGTGCCAGAAATGACTTTATTTGATTTGGCTGACCTGGACATTGACCTTGAGGGCTGCTTCCATATCAGCAGTTGGAAGGCATTCCCAATGAATGCATGTAAAGGTGGGAAAACTCTCCAAACTTATATTAGGATGCCAGCATTACCCTGATACCAAAACCAGACAAGGACATTATTAGAAAAGAAAATTATAGGCTAGTATCCTTAATGAATATAGATGCAGAAATCCTCAACAAAATTATTAGCAAAACAAATATAATAATATATTAAAAGGACCATGCACCATCATCAACATGATCAAATGGGATTTATTCCAGGAATGCAAAGATGGTAAATCAATCAATACAATATACCATATCAACAAAATGAAGGCTAAAAACCATATGATTATCTCAATAGATAATCAGAAAAAATATCTAATAAAATTCAACACTCATTTGTGATAAAAAAAAAAGACCTCTCAATAAAGTGGGTGTAGAGGGAATGTACTCAACATAATAAAGGTTGTCTATGACAAGCCCACACATAACATCATACTCAATAGTAAAAAGCTGAAAGCTTTTCCTCTAAGATCAGAAACAACATGGGAGTCATTCTTACCATTTTTATTCAATACAGTTTTGGAAGTCAAAGCCAGAGCAACTAAGCAAGAAAAAATAAAAAGCATCCAAACTGGAAAGAAAGAAAACTGTCTCTATTTGAAGATGACAGTATTATATATAGGAAACCGTAAGTTCCACCCCAAAACTACCAACTAATAAAGGAATACAGTAGAGTTGCAGGATACAAAATCAATACACAAATATCAGTTGCCTTTTTATACACTAGTGAGCTAGCAGAAAGAGAAATTAAGAAAACAGTCCCATTTACAATTGCATCATAAAGAAGAAAATACCTAAGAATAAATGTAGCCAAGGAGTTAAGAGACCTGTGTTCTGAAAACTGTAAGACATTGATATTGATGAAAGAAATTGAAGAAGATAAAAATAAAAAGATGATAAAAATTTTAAAAAGTGGAGATAAAAATAAATTTGGAAAAATTTTCATGGATTGCAAAAATTAATATTAAAATTCCACACTTTCCAGAGCGATCTACAGATTCAATGTGATTCTTATCAAAATTCCAGTGGCATTTTTTACAGAAGTAGGACAAACAACCCTAAAATCTGTGTGGAGCTACAAAAAAACCCCAAACAGCCAAAGCAATCTTGAGAAAGAAAAGTGAAATGAGGTATTATGCCCTCTAATTTCAAACTATATTACAAAGCAATAGTAATCAGAACAGTATGGTATCAACATAAAAACAGACGAATTCATCAATGAAACTCTCTACTTCTGTTGTCTTGGGAAAAAAGATCATTTGGGGCTGAAATTTTGGGGTGCCTTACTTGCTTCAAAACTTAGGTGTACAAGTTTTTCCCCAGATTTAGGAAGTTCTTAGCCATTATTTCTTTAAACTCTTCCTGCTCCTTTTTCCACCTGGGACCCTAATAATGCATAGATTGTTTCTTTTAATGGTACCCCTTTATTCACATAGGCTTTCTTCACTTTTTTCACTCTTTATTCTTTTTTTCTTGTTCCTCTGATGAATGATTTCTAATGACCTGTCTAGTTCAGTGATTCTTCTGCTTAGTTGAGTCTGCTATTGAACTCTCTTACTGAGTATTCTTTACTTCAGTTATTCTGTTCTTCAACTCTAGTATTTTGGTTGGTTGGTTTTTTTTAAGTGGTTTGTATTTCTTTGTTGAACTTCTCATTTTGTTCATGCATTATTTTCCTAATTGCTTTAGTTGTCTTAAATGTTTTCTTATAGTTCACTGACCTTATTTAAGAGGATTATTCCAAATTCTTTGTCAGACAGTTCATAGATTTCATTTCTTTCAAGCCAGTCATTGTAGTTTTATTAGTTTCCTTTTATGGTATCATTTTTTCTTGATTATTCATGATCCTTCTGGCCTTGTGTTGGTGTCTGTGTATTCGAAGAAGCAGGCACCTCTTCCAGTCTTTACAGGCTGACCTTGGTAGGCGAAACCCCTTACCAGTCATCCCTTGCAGTGATGCTGGGTAGACTGTCTGGTGATGTCTGCTGCAGACCCAACCAGAGTCTTTGGACAGCCCATTGCTGGGATGGTTCGAAAGCCTGGATTCATGGTCCATTGTGGTCATTCTGACATTGGGCTTGGCTAGGAGCCTGGGCCCACAGGAGACATGTAGAGCCATGGAAGCTGGCTGGTGCTGGGATATGCAGGAGCCTGGGTTCATGGGAGCCTGACTGAAGCCTTGTGCATTGGGGGCCACCTGAGGCCATGGGAGCCAGCTGGTGCTGAAGTGGATCAGGGGCCTGCATTCACTGGGACCCTCTGGGAGTCTGGGCCTGCTGGAGCAGCTAGGACCAGCAGGCACCAGGGTGAGTTGGCCTGGATTCATGGGAGCCTAGTACCGCAGGAGCTACCTGGTGCTGTGGAAGACACTTGGGAGTGCTGGGGCTGTTTGAGCTGGCTGGCATCAGGTAAACTAGGGGCCTGGGTTCATGGGAGCCAGGGGCCCAGATTTAGGAAGTTCTTAGCCATTATTTCTTTAAACTCTTTCTGCTCCTTTTTCTATCTGGGACCCTAATAATGCATAGATTGTTTCTTTTAGTGGTACCCCTTTATTCACATAGGCTTTCTTCACTTTTTTCACTCTTCATTCTTTTTTTCTTCTTGTTCCTCTGATGGATGATTTCTAATGACCTGTCTAGTTCAGTGATTCTTCTGCTTAGTTGAGTCTGGGAGCCCCCTTGGGCCTGGTGCTGGGGTGTGCTGGCTCTCGGCTCCCAGGAAAGTTGGGTACTCACTTTACTCTCTTCCACAAGGAGGGTGTCTCTGCACTAGGCTGCCTGGCTTGAGAGGGTGGTCATGGGCGTAGTGTGACTATCTTTCCTACACTCCTCAATATATCCTTTCTTATATCTATGCCTTACCTAAGTAGTGTAATCTCTCAACCTAGAATACTTGGCTATTATAATTGTAATTTTGTGAGCAGTTGGTTGTTCAAACTGATGTTCCTGTGGTGAGGAAAGTGCCAGAAATTCCTATGCCACCATTTTGCTTACCCCATTGATGTTTTAGCAAGGTGAATTTAACAGGGTTACAGAGGACCTGAAGCAGGGATATAGGGCTGTCTAAGGGCCTGATCATCAGGGTGTGTAGAAGTAGAAGGGTCCTACCTGGTAACCGGTTGGCTCTGGGAGCAGAGGAGGGAGGAAGAAAAGGTAAGAGAAGTTTTGATTACATAAGAGTGCTTCATCAGTAGAAATGGAAAAGTCAGGAGGATGTACAGGTTGGACAGGAGACGATAAGCTTGGTTTTAGACATGGAGGTCTGGAAAGACCATTGTCAGTGGGCATTGGAATTTGAGTCTGGAGTTCGCTAGTGACCGTGGAGCCTTTGGTGACTCTGACCACACTTGTCAGACAAGATGAGGTTCTCTCTCTGGCCAGACCTGACTCTACCCAACTCCATACACATAGCAGGGGCCCCTGCCTCAGCCTGGTCCTCTCACCTGCTCTTCATCCCCTAGGTCCTCTGGACACAGACATGCAGCAGTTGGCCCGGGAGACCTCCGTGGACCCAGACTTACGGAAAAGTCTGCAGGAGCTGAAGACAAAGGGACAGCTTGTGGATTGTAGGGCATCAGCCCAGAAACTGCTAAGCTTGCTGCAAGAGGATGTGTTCAAGTCTGGAGCCCATGTTGACTTCTATGACAAATAAGCCCACATCCTCGGCTTCCTGGAGCTTTCCTCGCCTTCTTCCAGGCACACCCAGGAGCCCTGTGCCTCCCCACATCTTGCCAGTGGCACTGCCAGCTCTGCCTCACCCAGTTAAGCACTCATGTTTACTATCCTGCCCTCAGATCCGCCAGCTGTGAGGGCCGTGGGTCGCTGGAGTTCCCAGTTCTCACAAGTCTGTGTGACCGCTCTGAGCTGAGAGGAGGCTGGGGAGAGAGAAGTATGATTGTGGTGTTCTGTCTCACCAGAAATAGAATTTGAGGGATGGGAAGAGCAGGACAAGAAGCTGAAACACTGAAGAGAGGAGGTTGGGTCTCCTGCCCATGGCCAGTCCATGGGGTCCGTTAGCGTTAAATCAGAAGGCTGATATAGACTCACAGATGGCCTGAAGGGGACGGAGCACAGTGCAAGTTCCTGCCCACAGAGATGCCCCTCTCCCGGGGTAGCAGGACCTTCTATAGAATTTCATGTCCTCATTCTGATGCTTCCTCCCTCCAGAACATACTGCCATTCCGTAGATGTGGAGAAGGAACCCCCGAGAGTTTATGTTAAAGGCAGATACAAATAAAATATGGATTGTCCTCTCTCTGTGCATCTTTTCTCCTCTACTAGAGGACCCATGTCTAACTCCATCATTTGCTGGCCCTGGGGGCATACCTGGGGCAGTTAACCCAGACATGGGGTGCTGTCCTTATTTCCTGGGAACTTGGCTTGGGCTGCCTGCCTCTTCTCACTGAGCCCCACGCAGCGGCAAGCCAGGTTCATAGTTGGCCAAGATGGACAGTGCCCAGGCGCCTGTCCCTTCTTCATGCTTCTGCCTATACTGACCCTGGTCTGTACTACCCTTTCCCCACCCTAGACCTATGTGTGGTATCCAGCCTTCGGGCCCTGACTCAGCCAGAGGGAGGGGTCCTTTCCCTCGCTCTCTTTGATTCCCAGTTCTACCCCTTGCCCACACGGTATGTTCTGAATGGATCCCAGCTCCTCGGGAGCGATTGTCGTGGGCCCTCCTGGCAATGTCCATCTGGCCCTTGGTCCTGGTCCTCAGTGGGGTGACCTTTGGGAGAAGTGGGCAAGATTCCAACAGGAAAGCCCTGAGAAACCAGGGGTTTGACCAAACCTGTCCTGTGGGTTATTAGATAGGCGCTCACAGTGGGGGCGGTCTATAGCAGCCCGCTGGGAGCCCCTGGCCCTTACGTGGGAGGAGACACCATGGTTCCTGCCTACCAACTCCCGGACTCAGTGCCTCATCCGATCCTGCAGCAGGGAACGCTCTCCGCTCCTTGCGTGCAGCAGAGGGCGTACTGAGGCCGTTCCTGGAGAAGCCACAGTAGCTCCTGCTACTGGAGGCCCGTGGTGTGCCCAAACTGGCCCTGCCCAGCGAGGTTCCCTAGGAGGAAAAGAGCAACTCATGCATTTTTTCACCCAGCAGAGACTTTGCCCTCACTGGAGTCAAATTCACTGTGTTCAGATCCCAGCTCTGCTACTCACCAGCTGGTAACCCAGGGCAAAGTGCTTCTCTGGGCTGAAAATGTAGATTATAATGGTGCCTCCCTCAAATGATTTAATGTTTGGAATATTTAGCACAGTGCTCACATTGCAGTAAATGCCCCAGAGATACTTACACTTATTGCCTTTCAATATTAAGATCTAGGTCATCCTGGAACCCCACCTGGATCCACATCTCCTCCATGTGGCCCACATGCCCTCCCCCTTGCTGACCTGCAGCAAGAACTCTCACTGTGCTGCCCCTATTCTGGGCCTCCGTGAGGCTGGGGTTCAGTTTGGACAGCACATCCTGGGCTCACCAGACCCACCGGAAAATATACCCTCAGTCCCAGTTCCTTCTGTAACAGAGACACTGTAGGATCTTGAGCAGGGCAACTCTGCCTCTGTGGGCTTCAGTTTCCTTAGAACAGGTGAGCTGTAATATTCCTTTCTGCAAACCTTTCCCCAAGGTGTTTCAAACGTGGTCAGGCTGCATCTGATGGCATCAGGTTTGCCTCTGCAGGAGGGGCTACGCCAGCCTGGGCTGCCCCTTCTGCATGGTGGGCGTTGAACAGATGTCCTCAGCCTGCCTCCTGCTCCCATGGGAGAGTGAGGGCCGTCAGCACACAGTCTCCTTTGGCTGCCCTGTCGGGGTGGGCTCCCTCCTTCCCCATCGGGCTGGTTGGCCAGGGCTTGGAGTACCACATGTCCCCACGAGGTGGCGAGGCCCTCCCATGCCTGACACTCGTCCCCTCTGAGCCCAGGGATTTGAGAGCCTTGAGAATGACCCTAGTCCTGTCTTTCTCCCTGTACTGTAGGCTTTTGGACTCTTAGAGGCCCCTGGGGCAGTAAGGGCCCCGTGTGGTGCCCTTAGTGACATATGGGCTCTGGCCACAGGGATTTCCCGGGCCTTGCCCCTTGGCCTGGACTCAGCCTCCCCATGTGTCCCCCACCACAGGTGCAGGGACCCTCTTGCCAGCCTCCAGGGGCTAACCATCTGTGTTCCCAGCATGCATGGCCTGGCCTTGGCTAGCACACACAGGAGCACATGTAAGCACATACACAATACATGCCTGCACATGCCCAGCTGCCAGGTCGAGCTGGGCCTCAGATTAGCCAAAAGACAAACAAGGCTGTCTTTGGTGTGAACGAGCTGGGCAGTTAGGTTGTGTGTAATACCCCTGAGCTGAGGGCCAGCAGCCAAACTGGGAGGGGCAGAGGAGTGAGGGGAGTATTGCAGACCCATCCCAGGGAGCTCCAGCACGTCTGTCTGTGAGCATGACTAGCTGGGACTAAGCTGGGCAGAAGCCTCCTCCCCACCCCCCAATTCCTGTCCTTTATCTTGTGAATACAATGCAGGCTGGTATTTGAGTTCCATTATTAGCCAAGCCTAGAGGTGTCCAGCTGCTCCTGCCTCCCCGCTCAGAACCACTCCTCGGGGACATACTCTGTGCTAGCATCTCCCCACATCTCGTCTCAGAGAGCTGGGCTCTGGGATACTGCCTTTGGCCTCCTTCATGCAGTGTCTCCCCATAGCACGTGGCCTCCTCTGCTACCGTATGTATGTATAATGCCCACTCCTGTAGCACATGTACACACCCCCATGCAAATATGCCCAGGAGTGCCCGGCAGCGCTCCCTCACCACTGGGGTCCCCTGGGGCAACCAGAAGATAGGTGAAGAGCACTTCCAGAGTGGGGACCCCATGGGGTGACACCTCTCTAGACCCCGTGGCACCTCTCAGTGACCTGGGGTGTCTGGGAGGAGGGAGCGCACCTGAAGCCACTAGGCAGCTTGCAGAGAAGTTAGCTGAGGACCATGCAGCATCAGGCCAGGATCAGGCCAGCGGGTGAGGGTTATTTACAGTGTAGCTGAGGAGAAGAGGGAGTGAGCCATCCATGCTCCCCCGAGCCAATCCCGAGGTCTTCTGCGGGCAGGGCTGGAAGGCAGAGCTGAGTGCTGGATTTTCCCTCAGGCTTTAGGAGAGAACCCACCTCCCCATTCCCACCTGGAATTATTGCTAATTCCCAGCAAGACTCCCCTACTTTGCCCTTTGTCTCCATTTCTCCCTTTCTCGTGCATTCCCCTCAGGCCTAACTGCCCTTCACGTGAGCCTGTGAGTGAGCCTGTGAGCGAGCCTGTGAGCGCTGAGAGCCCTGGAGGGCCTGGTGGACAGGAGGAGGGAGGGTGAAGAAGTTCCTTTTTCCCTTTGGGGAATCTGCCCCTGAGGTGCCCCGCCCCACCCCCAGAGACTCAGAGTGATGCCCCAGCTGACTGACCTGGAAGCTGTATAGTGATCTGTCAGCCCACAGGCCCATGTCTCCCATCCCCAACACCAGAGCAGGGAAGCAAGGGGCCGAACTCCCCGTGCCCAGACCTGGGGCCTCCTCCTGCAGCTGCAAGCATCTGTCTGGCCCATACTCTGGTTCAAGGCTTGGTCTAGCCGCTACAGAGGACTTTTGCCTGGGCCCTGCCCTTCCAAGCCCCAGCTTGACCCCAGGGACCCAAGGTCTCAGACTCAAGAGGCTGTATATATCCCACAGACCTTACCCAGACCTAACCCACTGAGGCTTTGTTGAGTGTTTGATGAATGAATGAATGAATGAGATAGTACACAAGCAAGTGAGTGAAAATGGTGTAGTGGCCCAGTGCCAGGTGTATCGTGAAGCATTTCAAAGGGCTTGGTTGTGCTAACTGTTGCCTAGATATCAGGTCTCCTCTCTGCAGACAGCCTCTACCCAGCTCAGGCATCTCTATGTGGGGTTTCAAACTAAAGGAAAGCCTCAATGTGTGTATTGAGGAAGAGGGCGGGGCTCACCTGTGCCAGAATAACTGGTAAGTTTAAAAAAAATCACTCCCCACAGCCCCATCCTCACCCAGATCCAGTTTGGTGTCTCTAGGGGTGTCCCCACTTGGACTAGAGTATTGAAAGTGAGCTGTGAGCACAGATGTTGGCAGAGATCAAAGGAGGCAGCTCCTCCGAGAAGGAGAAGTTCAGGGGACAGAGTCAGGGTTAGGGGTTAGGGTTCTCTGAGGTCAAAATTAAGGATTGATATGTGGCCAGGGTCAGGGTCACTGTGAGTCCAGATTTGAGGTCAGATTTGGGGCCATAGCTAGGCTTGGTCTGCAGTGAGATTTGGGCAAATGGAGAGGGAGATGGGAAATTTTGGGAGGCAAAGGAGACCTGCGCTATTGACTTCTAAAATGTTCATTTGCCCACAATGATGAGTGTCAGAGTGAGCTGGCTCGTTAGGAGAAGGCAGGCCTGAAGATGGTGACCAAAGCTGGGGGGCTGTTCTCTTAGCCCAGAAGAGCTCCAGAGTTCCCCACCCCATCTCCCTGACCAGGAGCCCTGTGGACAGGGCAGGGACAGCTACATCGTTACCTAGAACAAAATGGGCTTCCTTTAAGGATCCATCCTTGTGGCCTGCCTGCGTGAGACTGGAAAGGGACCAGGGCAAAGTGAGGGGGTTGAGAGGAGGCAGGTCTCCTCTCCTCTCTGGAGCAACCAGGCCAAGACACAAAAACAGACATAGTGAGGACCAGCGAGGCTGAAACAGGGTGAGCAGGACAGCGAGAGGAAGATGGAGAAACACGGAGGAAAATGGGCAGAGACAGAAAGATCTGAAAATACAGTGAGACAGATTTAGATGGAGGGAGAGAGCTCGAGAGAAGCTACACACTCACACACACTCATACACTCTCTCTCACAGGCACACTCACACACACCCAGGCGTGCGCTCACGCAGTCGCCCTGAGCCTCACTGGAAATAATCCCGCTCGCGACGCCAGGGCCTCAGCTGCACAGGCGGTGCCGAGCTGTTACCTTGCACATCTGTCAGCTCCAAATGTAGAAGCTGTCACAGGGGTGTGCGCATGTGTGTGTGAGTGTGAGAGTGTGTGTGTGTGTGTGTGTGTGTGTGTGTGTGTGTGTGTGCGCGCGCACACGCTCCTATTCCTCCCAGAGAATTCTGAGGACTTAGCCTGGCACAGGGAGATTCCTGAGGGCCCAGAGGCTCTCCAGGAAGTCCATGCTCTGAGAAGCAGGCCTTGCTTCCTCCCCTCCAACACAGGGAGAGGCCCCTGACCACCCAGCTCT